TACTCATCGCTGTGTTCGTTCAGAGGACATTGGCGCTAGGGCTCGAAACCCCTCGATTGTCATGAGCGCTTTTAGGCGCACAACAGCTTGGTGGGGGTACCGACTGGTGCCCAGCGTAGGTTATATAGGCTACCCCGTAAAGTCCAATGAATGTCTGGGTGAGGACAATGTTGGCAGAAAGTAGCAAAAGGAAATAATGAGAGTGTAGAGTGTCTCACCCCCTCACTCCTCCTGAAGTGAGACAGCGTCCGAATTTCCATCTTTTAATAGTTTCCGGTTGAGAACTTCTTTGTAAGCAGGCTGGTGTTGACGTTTGTGGCGTTCTCGACAGAGGCATGCTGCGATAAAGTGGAAATCTACGACGGACCAAATGCCACCTATCCGAAGTTGGCTGTGTGAGTTTCTCGAACCTAGTAGATTTGTCTACCACACATTTCGCAAAGGGCACAATAGCTGGGGGCGGACGGTACTCCCAACGTCACTAGTCGAAGAGCTGAGGGTGGTGTGGCCAAACGCCTTCTTGCAGACATTCCACCAATGGCGTTGGCTGTAACACAGGCCCCATCCATCGTGCCCTCGTCCTCTAATTGAGGTCACATTCCGTGACAGTCAAAAGGGCGGAGATTCCGAACCATTGTGTGTCCCTCAATATATGCCTCTCCTTCCAAAATGGTGGGAAGGAAGAATGCACCGGTGAGGAACGCGCAGTGGCGTTCAGTCCCCACCCATTTCCCGCCCACCAGTTATCGAGGATTCTGCTTCCAAAAAGTTCTTCTGGATTTTCAGACTTTCTGGCAGTTCAGTCGTCAATACGACGTACTACTCAACCCAGCAGAGTCTATTCCTCACGTTCTACTCCGACTACACCGAAAGCGACAAAGGATTCAGTGCATATTATAAGCAGATTGTAGATAGTCGTAAACTCTGAACAATGCAGCAATCCTACTGTGACACTGAGACAACTTTATTGTTAGCCGAGCGCCTGAACGAATCGTATCACTTGGAAGAAGACGTTGGTACACATAGTTTTTGCATATCACAGTAATGTCCTACAGAACACATTGAGCATGAAGTTCCTGGTTCATAGACCGTGGATCCAACGACATTTCCTCTGAAAAGAGGGAAAGTGTGAATGAAAGAGGAAATCAAGTACGTATCATCCACCAAAGATATCAGTGATTTTTTACCCGGGCTTGTAATGACAAGCGATATACCACATGTTCCCGCACAGCTCACGCCTTGATACTGCACATCCCACGAATTGTGTGGTTGCCCATGCCATCTGAACAAATTCAACCATGTCTGGAATCTCGTCAGTGTTCAAAAGAAAGAGGGCTAAGAGAGTCAGGGGGCAATCCGCGACGGCTGTTTTCCCTTTGTCTGGGCTCTCTCTCGGAGAGAGCGTCCCCTCCTCAGCGTGCTCAGGCAACGTTCATACTTCGCGACACCAACGAATGCACAATCCTTGGCTGCGTTCATACTTTGCGGTAGCGTCCACGAGCGTCTACCAGCGTCAACACGCGTTTAGAGCGTCCGGCAGTCTCAGCGATTGGGAAAGTATAGGCCTCGATCTAGCAACTATTAGGATGCACCAGAGTTTTCCAGCGTTCGCAAGCCTCGAGGGCCTGGGAACTATAGGTATCAATCTAAAGTCTATCAGCGTCCGGGAGAGGAGAGTATGCGCGATAGGAGGGTAGCAGCTGTCTGCTATTCTCCTATTGCATCATGCTTTCCTCTCCCGGATGCTAGTAGACGCTGGTAATCGCTAGATCGTATCTATACTTTCCCAGTAGCTCACCCTGCCGGACGCTCTAAACGCTAGTGGGCGGCGGTAGACACTGGTGGACACTGCCGCAAACGTAGGAACACAGCTCATGCTCGATATCGCCGAGGATTACATTTTGATCGTGCATTCAGGCAGATGAGTAATTGGGTACTGTAGATGTCGGAAAGTATAAATGCTGCCTTATTGTTAGCATATGTCGTGCAGATGAGCAGAAAGGGCATGGCCAAGCCTCACCAACTGGCCTCCTCCTACACCCACCCCCCTCGTCCCTCATTCCCAAGGAGGATTGAAGAAGCATCAGACCCTGGTAAAGTAACTGATTGTGCTCTGTGCATGCTGAGCTCTGAAGATAGCCTTCATTCCAATGCCGTCAACCATTCTTACTTGACTCCACCACTTCTTCACTGCCTGAACAGGAACTATTTGAAGAAAACAAAAGCCTTATTCTGATTATTAACTTACAAGCACAGTAGCATTAATACGATACATGGCCATTGATTTTTGAACACCATAAATATTTTCTTGTACGTCACTCGAAAGCGATGTGTATGGTGTTTCGGTACATCTCTCTACAGAGAGCCTGGCCGACGATTCCAAACTGCAGTCGTATCTCTGTAAAAATTTCGTGGAACAGTCACAAGCTTAAAGGTCACATACACCAGCCAATGTGGTTGTTTTTGTGCCATGGTTTGCCAGGTGGAATGCTTGTTTTTGTGTGGGTCTGAGTTCTCAACTAAATGTCTGACCTCAGTGTTGAGGTAGTCCACGATTTGAACCTAAACTCCGCTGGCCACGCGTAAATTAAATCGAAAATACTCATCATCTCAAGGCACGCTGGCAAGGTGAAGGCGCAATGATCCTAGCGAAGGCTACTTCGCTAGCAGGGTTTACGCATGTTAAAGTGGGCGCGGACCGCCCGTTACACTGACCGCACTATGACCCCATTGTGGAGTTTCTGGTTACCTGACCATCTGAGCTTCTACCATGGCCTGCAGCGAAAGCTTAGCGCAGACCGGTGAAGAATTCACTAAAGAGTTACCTTTGAACAATGGACATCATCTCTTATCACGGAATGGATAGATGGAAAACGTTGCCTAAAAAGGATTTAGCGACATTGAACACTTCTCTCACTACGCGCCTGACGAAAAAGTTTCCAGCAATCTACTTGAACTAAATCGGCAGCTGAACTCGTGCCCAGACATGAGCGAAGCCTGTGTTCATGAAGGCTCGCCCTGCTCCGTACCCTGCTTGCCGAAGATTTCGACGGAAATCGACCGAGTGGTATCTACACACGTAGTGGCTCTCATCGACCACTCAGAATGGGTCGCACCGATCGTCGTCGTTCAGAAGAAAAACGGATATCGATCCGACTCTGCGCAGATTCAACTGCACTTAACAACGCGCTGGAACAGCACCAGCACCCACTTCCAAGCCCAAACGACAGCTTCAACAAAAACTCAATGGAGATGCTACTCCTAATAGCATATAGATCATAGTGAGTGAGAGCGGACGCTCTAAAGAAGCAGCTGACAATCAAAATCGCAAACATGTGGACTCAACCGTTTCAATCGACTACCTCTGGAGATTGAAGCCGCACCCGGTATCTTCCAACAGTGCATGGACGCACCCATCGCTGGAAGGAACTGCCGTCTATCTTGATGACATACTGGCAGAACCATGGGCGAACACAAGACTCGACTGAAAGCAATGTTCAAGAGAATCCAGGACTATGGATTCTGTGTGCGGCTCTACAAACCCGCCCAACTCTAGCGGACAGAAATCACCTACCTCGGGTTCGTCATTAACGCGCAAGTATGACTTTCCAACGGATGACAGCCAGCTCAGCGCTTTTCTCGGACTCATCAGTTTCTACGGTAGCTTCGTCGAGGATCTGCACGATCTTCGCGCTCCACTAGACGCCCTTACAAAGAAGGATACTGTCTACATGTGGACACCGGAGTTCAAAAATTCCTTCAACAGATCAAGGCAGCATCACGCTCGGGTCTCCTATTGACTCATTTCGACCTGAGTCTACTGCCGACCATCGTAGCCGCCGACGCTTCCAACTACGGAGCAGGAACTACTCTCTTTCTCTTCAATCAATCGCTTCCCAAATGGATCCGAGAAGGCAGGGCACGCATGGCCAATCTGAAGTGGAGAGAGCAGTGATACTCAGATGTCATTCAGCGTCAATGATGAAAGACTCATCCATGTGAAGAACCCCTGAAGAGACACACACAAGACAGAAGCAACCTGCCAGTGCAGAAATGAGGCGATGAAAGGAAATACGATGGCTGCCCACAAGGACGTCATGAATTAATAAACAGATGAAAATACACTTCCGGACTTTTCTGATCGCAGGAGCACATCTACTTGCACGGAGGAAGCCCTATTTAAGAGTTGCACCTCCCCAATACCTCTGCGTGAGAGCCGTATGCATGGCGCATTACAGAGGTGATGCCAATCGGCGCCCAAACTAATCCTTGATGGCGTCAGAGAAATAGGTTTTTCGTATCGTCCGGAAGGGTTGGCGTCCACATAACTACAGGGGATTCTCGTTCCACGATAACTACAGTTTTTATCTTGGTTCGATTTAGATCAGATGTAGCTTACTATTCCGTAACACCAGGCAGAAGACGACAGCTTTAGCCTCACGACGACGAGATTAAGTCATCGATCTTTATCGCTTTTCGTTATTGTTACTAAACACCATCACACGTCGTTTTATTGCCTCTTGTTGTGTTATACTAACACCAACTTTCACAACGCTGTGTAAAGAGAGATAACCATCTTTTAAACCCGCCAGTAATCACGATCCGGCAGTTAATATAATAACAACGAGAGTTCACTATGTCAATTCCGTCGAACGGGACCTAGGACCCACAACTCCTTCTCAAAACAAACCACACCACGGGTTCTCAGCAGCTGCCAAGCACTACGTCTGCCAATCTTGGTGGACTTACGCCCAAGGCAGTTTCTTTTGGGGCGGGAGTGTCGCGAATCGCGAGGATCGCTCCCAAGGGTTTCTCCCGGGTGTGCTGGCGCCTACCGTAGCCTGCCGCCGTGACCTACACTTGTTGCTCTATTCCGGCATGATCGGCAACGGGATAACCGCTGGCCACCGCGGTGCAGTCGATCACAAGCAGCCGTTCAACTTCCTCCTCTACCGTCTATCCAGAGCGGTCGAGCTACTACCTTTCTCACCCGAACTCAGCTATTCAATTCGCGGGCAAGGAGTGCTTGTCGGCCGCTGAACTAACACTCTACCTAATCCAGCGGCACACCTTGCCAGTAGCCGGATGCTACATATTGTCTGTTATTCTTCTAGAATAGCGACGACGTCTATCCTCCCTTGGTCGACCCACGACCGGCGGCGGCTATTGCTAGGGCGTGGGCCCTTAGAACTATCAGTGAGAATATGCTCAAAGCTACTTCAACTTCCGCTCAGTTGGCGGCGAGATATCGATCATCTCCGTGAGTTCCGTACTGCTTTACGTTCTAAAGGTTCGTAGATCCCCTCGACGGAACCGTTGATTGAGTTATCTTTTTCACTGATAGGTAGTTCATGTTACTCTACCAAAGCTCATAAAGTTGCTAACATTAACTCTGTTCTAATACAAGAGGAGGTTTTGCCTTGCGATTCTTGCCAGTCATCTTGTTGTGGTGCATTAGTTCGGCGGGCTGATCTTAATCGATGGCGCAGAGAGAGGTAAGCAGGATAAGGCTGCTCGACCCGTAGTCCAGGACTTGCCGCGTATGGGAGATGGGGCGTAGGGCGAAGGGAGATTGGAGACCATCAATCAATAGGGCGCCACGAAACACTCCCCTCTCCCGCCGTCCTGCTCGCGGAGCAACCCCGATTCGCGCAACAAGTACATACTTGCAGACGCAGGTACCTGTCGTTGGCACGATGACTACGGGAAACTGGCTCAAAAATGCTCGTCAAATGAAGTACAGAACAAAAGTTTATTCGCAGGTTTTTGGTCATTCAACTCAGCTTTTTTCGTGATTCTCTCATTATATAGCACTTCTGCAACTATTTCTGTGCAAATACTAAGCTATCCTGCCTTAATCCGCATCAAAAACAAGCAAGCACAATCAGAACGACCCCCCTCCCCACCTAAAAAAGGGTCTCGTTACGACGTTTTCCCTACAAGTTTTCAGCTTCCCACCAGTTTTTCTTTTAGTTTTCCACACAAAAATTCCTGGTCGAGCAGGAGGGGGGGGGAGGGGGGGGGGGAACATGTAGCCGACGTGGAACGGGAAAAGCTGCAAAAAGTCAAAAACGGGGAAAAAATTTT